GCATCCAAACAGGGAGAGGAAGTCAAACTATCTCTCTTCATAGATTATATGATTTTATACTTAGAAATGCTATAATATCTGCCCAAACTCTCCTAAAACTGATCAACCACTTCAGCAAAGTTTTGGGATACAGAATCAATGTAAAAAAAACCAGTAGCATTTCTATATACCAACAATGTCCAACCTGAGAGCCAAATCAAGAATGCAATCCCACTGACAATAGGCACACACAAACAAATAAAGTACCCAGAAATACAGCTAACCAGGGAGGCGAAAGACCTCAACAGCAAGTATTACAAAACACTGTTGAAAGAAATCAGAAATCATACAAGCAAATGGAAAAACATTCTACATTCACGGATAGGAAAAATCAATATTGTTAACTATACTGTCCAAGGGGATTTATAGATTCAATGCTATTTCCATCAAACTTCCAATGACATTTTTCATAGAATTAGAAAAAACTATTCTAAAATTTATATGGAACCAAAAAAAGAGGCTAAATAGCCAAAATAATTCTAAGCAAAAAGAATAAAGCTGGAGGAATTGCACTACCTGACTTCAAACTATACTATGAGGCTACAATAATCAAAGCAGCACTGTATTGGTACAAAAATGGACACATAGACCAACAGAACAAGTTAGATAACCCAGTTATAAATCCACACACGTACAACCATCTGAACTTTGAGAAAGTTGACAAAAACAAGCAATAGGGAAAGGACTCCCTATTCAATAAACAGTGCTGAGATAACTCGTTAGCCATATGCAGATGAAAACTGGACCCCTGCCTTTTATCATGTGCAAAAATCAACTCAAGGTGGATTAAAGAATTAAATGTAAATCCTAAAACTATAAAATCCCTAGATGAAAACCTAGGAAACACCATTCTGGACACAGGTCCTGGCAAAGATTTCATGATGAAGACTCCAAAAGCAATTGCAATAAAAACAAAAATTGACCAATGGGACCTGATTAAACTAAAGAGTCTCAGCACAATAAAAGAAACTATCAACAGAGTAAACAGACAATGTACATAATGAGAGAAAAGTTTTAAAAGCTATGAATCTGATGAAAGACTAATATCCAGAATCTAAAAGGAACTTACACAAATTAACAACCAAAAAACAAACAACCCCATTAAAAAATGGGCAAAGAAAATTTAAGACCTCAAACTATGAAAATAGTACAAGAAAATACTGGGTAAAATCTCCAGGGCATTGGTCTGGGCAAAAATTTCTTGAGCAATACCCCACAAGCACAGGCAACCAAAGCAAAAATGAACAAATGGGATCACATCAAGTCAAAAAGCTTCTGCACAGCAAAGGATACAACTGACAAAGTAAAGAGACAACTCACAGAATGGGAGAAAATATTTGCAAACTACTCATCTGTCATGGAATTAATGACCAGAATATATAAGGAGCTCAAATAACTCTAAATAGCTCAAAGAAATATCTAATAATCCAATCAAAAATGGGCAAAATATTTGAAAAGATATTTTTCAAAATAAGATAGACAAATGGAAATCAGACATATGAAAAGGTGCTCAATATCACTTTGAGCAAATAAAAACTACAATGAGATATCACCCCAGGTAAAATGGCTTATATTCAAAAGACAAGCAATAGCAAATGCTGACAAGGATGTGGAAAAAAGGAGCATCTTGAGCACTGTGGGTGAGAATGTAAATTAGTACAACCACTATGGATAACAAATTTGTAGGTTCCTCAAAAAACTAAAAACAGAGCTACCATATCATCCAGCAATCCCACTGCTGGGTATATACCCAAAAGGAAGGAAATCAGTATATCAAAGACATGTCTGCACTCCTATGATTTTGCAGCACTGTTTACAATAGCTAAGAATTGGAAGCATCCTAAGCATTCATCAATAGAAGAATGGAAAAAGAAACTGTGGTATGTATGCACACTGGAGTACTATTCAGCCATGGTAAAGAATGAGATCCTGTCATTTGCAAAACCATGGTTGGAATTGGAGATCATTATGTTAAGTGAAGTAAACCAGGCACAGAAAGACAAACTTGACATGCTCTCATTTATTTCTGGGATCTAAAAAGTCAAAACAATTGAACTCATGATTATAGGGAATAGAAGGATGGTGAACAGAGACTGAGATGGGTGGTAGGGCCTGGGTGGGGGTTCTTGGGGATGGTTAATGGGTACGAAAAAGTAGAAAGAAATAAGACCTAGTATTTGATCGCACAAGGTGACTATAGTCAATAATAACTTAATTGTCCATTTTAAAATAACTAAAAGAGTGTAACTGAATTGTTTATAACACAAAGGATAAATACTTGAGGGGATGAATACCCCATTCTCCATGGTATGATTATTTCACATTGCATGTCTATATCAAAACGTCTCATGTACCCCATAAATACATACACCTACTATGTACCCACAAAAAATTAAAAACATACAAATATTTTTTAAATGAGCAAAGGACATGAACACTTTTGAAAAGAAGACATACATGCAGCCAGCAAGCATATGTAAAAATGCTCAACATCAATCATCATTACAGAAATGCAAATCAAAACTACAATGAGATACCGTCTCACACCAGTCAGAATGGCTATTACTAAAAAGTCAAAAAACAACAGATTCTGTTGAGGTTGCAGAGAAAAGGGAGCACATATATGTTGTTGGTAGGAATGTAAATTAGTTCACCTATTGTGGAAAGCAGTTTGGAGATTTGTCAAAAAACTTAAAACAGAACTGCCATTTGACCCAGCAATCCCGTTATTAAGTATATATCCAAAGGAATAGATATCTTTCTACCATAAAGACACATACATGCATATTTTCACTGCAACACTACTCACAATAGCAAAGACATGGAATCAACCTAAATGCTTATCAGTGGTAGACTAGATAAGGAAAATGTGGTATATACACACATTAGAATACTACACAGCCACAAAAAAAAAGTCATGTTCTTTGCAGTAATGCAGATGCAGCTGGAGGCTATTACCCTAAGTGAATTAATGCAGAAACAGAAAATCAAATACTGTATATTTTCACTTATAAGTAGGAACTCAATATTGAGTACACGTGGACAATAAGAAGGGAACAATAGACACCAGAACCTACTGGAGGGTGGAGGAGGAGGATTGTAAAACTAGCTGTCATGTACTATGTTTATTACCTGGGTAACATAATAATCTGTACACCAAAGTCCCATTACATGCAATTTTCCCTTGTAACAAACCTGTACATGTACCCCCGCACCTAAAATAAAAGACAATAAGAAAAACAAAATATGATATGTATACACACAATGGAACACCATTCAGCCATTATAAAGAATAAAATAATGTCTTTTGCAGCAACACAGATGGAACCGAAGGCCATTATCCTAAGTGAAACAATGCAGAAACAGAAAGTCAAATACCACAGGTTCTCACTTATAACTCGTAGCTAAGTAATGTGCGTACATGAACCTAGAGTGTGGCATGATAGACGTTAGAGACTTGGGAGGGTGCCAGGGTAGGAGGGGGGTGAGGGATGAGAAATTACTTAATTATCACAATGTATATTACTCAGGTCATGGTTACACTAAAAACCCAGACTTTACCACTCAGCCATATACTCATGTAACAAAACTGCACTCGAACCCCTTAAATTTATACAAATTTAAAAAAAAAGAAAAAGTAAAACAAGACCTAAGTAGTTAGGATAAGAAAATTTGCATATATTCTAAGTTTAAATCAATGCCAAAAGGCATTAAGGAAGAAAATAATACACACATTTCAGTCTTAACATTAATAAGAACCCTTGCTTTCTAATTCAAAAAGAGTATTTTCCTTTAAATGAAAATGATGTGATAGAGCACATCTTTTATTAATCATATCAAATATTAATTGCTGAGAATTCATAAGTAGTAGACATTTTAGAAACAAACAGTCTAGCATCCAGCTAAGACGCCTCTAGAGATACATTATGGTGAGGCAGGACTCAGACCTAAAATAAAAACAAATGTCTCAAATAGATTGTTGAATAGACATTTGCAAGAAAAATAATTTGTAAAATGTCTTTTTACATTACGTTGCTTAAATACTTTTCTATCTATTAAAGGCGTATTTATTTTCTTCTTGTTTACTACTAAAATATGTATTTTCTTGCAATAAAAATAAACTCTGGTTTTAAAAAGAAGAGCTGGCAAGAAACCAGACAGTATAATCTATGGTTCAAAATGTTGGTAAATTACTGAATCCAGCCCCAACTTTGAATCTTGTGAAACTGTCCTTAAATAACTGCTTTGGAGGCATATTCAAGAGCAAGAGATCTGTGAACCTCTGTCCTGGTGACTAAATGTGGAAAAGTTTTTATTCCGTCTGGAAGCAGACCAACAGAGAGCCCTAAATAGAAGCAGCTTAAGGGCTTAAAAGACTCCATAATTAGGTCTCTGCTTCATCTAAATGCACATGACAAACTTCAGAAATTGTTGAAGGTCTGCCTCTTTCTACCCCCATCAGTGGAATGTGAGCCAGCGTGGAGTTGAAAAACGGAGGTTGCAGGCTCAGAACAGTTATCACCTGTATGGCCATGAGCGAATCACCTTACCTCCCTTAACTCACTTGTCTTACAGTGTTGATTTCAAGCTCAAACGCCATCACGCCTGTGGTGTGTAAACTGCGAAGTGACAAGCAACGTCATTTTGGAAGTGAAATTTCTACAAACCATAACATGTAAGCAGAGCTATTGCCAGCAGAGCCAGTGGGTCAGAGTGAATTTGCAGTCCTGATGATCAATTGAGGTAATGAGAGTTATAAGTAGACTCTGCTCAGATTCAAACGTGGCACGCAGGGTTTTCAGAGCAATCGTTTTCTCTTCAAAGTCCGTCAGAATGGGAATAAGGCACTACCCTGACAATCACAGCCCCTGGCATCGGGTGATCTCAATTCACTCTACAGTGATATCAAAATTGCTGCACTACTCTGAATGCACTAGACAAGCTGCTGCAGGACTGTGCAGAATTTGCAGACACAAATAGTTAGAAACAGCAGCTGGGAGTTAACTCTAATCGTGATTTAACACCAATTAATAATGGTAATTTTCATAATCCTATTACATAGGGCTTATTGCCAAAGTTGTCAAAGATATTGTGTGTTTTAGATAATGGTTATTATTCTGGTCAGTGATGATAAAAAGTGCTGGGCAGCATGACAGATTAACATTTCAGTCATTCATTTAATTATATAGCAGACTCTATTCTGGCCATTGACAATAAAATATTACAGAAAATACCTACTGTATGGAGCTCATTGTTCAGTTGAAAAATAGAGATGTAAATAAGAAACCAAAGTACCATAATCAGTGTTACGAGAGAAGTAAACATAGATACTACATACTATTTGAGAGTTTTGTGGAAACCATATTATCTTTTGTTCCAAGTATGGACAATATTTTAGTAATGTCTTTTCCACAGGATCAAGAATTGATGGATTTGTTGAACAAATGGGTTCTACTATTTTGTTTAGCTAATATACCATTGTGGGGAGGGTGGGTGAAGAAAACAAAGTAGTTGGAATACCCATTGCCATTCATAGAGCATTTCTTCAAAGATACCTGTATTGCTACTGAAATACATGCAATCTGCGACACATGTACACCAAGCAAATACGTTAGTCCTGTTTGACATCCAATTCCAGTATGTTTTTCATCCACAAAAGATCATTGCCGCTGACATGCTTCATCGTTCACAGAAAAAAATGACATTCTGTGCTGCTGCTGCTTATTATTCACCGTAATAAGAACGTTTTCTGGAAAGAAAAACATTATTGAGTTCTGAGCCTGTGCTAATGCCAGAGTGAACCCAAACCACTATTTCTTACCACTGGAACATCAAAATACAAGATTGCAACTATGCTTCTCCATAACATTGCCAGCTGGCTTCAGTTGATCTCTACTCAAGAACAGTGCCATCTGTAGAAAAGGACAGTGGCTTTTTAGGGTGAAAGGGAATCTACATGTACCTCTATGTTCTGTTTTTCCATTTGACAATTTGAACTGATCATGCCTGGGGACATTTGTCTAAGTTTAAATAGCAATCCTTCTTAAATCACTGTAGGAGGGTGAGAACATTTTGCTGGTATTGATAATTATGCACTGCCCCAAAGTTATAAAAATCAGCACTGAATGCTGCTGCTGCTGCTGCACATCCATCCCCAGGAATGTTACACTCCAGCTGTAAGTTTTGATTTTAACATATTTTGAAAGTCATTTCTTCATATTTCACTTAAATATAAAACTTCATTGTTATAGACTGAAGATTTATCTCTCCAACCCGCAAATTCATATGGGGAAGCCTTAACATCTAGTAGGGCTGCATTTGGAGACAAGGCTTCTGAAAAAGTCATCAAGGTTACATGAGGTCATAATGATGAGGCTCTGATCCGATAGGACTTGGGTCTTTATAAGAAGAGACTCGAGAGCTCTCTCACTCTCTACAAACACAGGCACTGCAGGGATGCCGTGTGAGCACACGGTGAGAAGGTGGCCAGTGGCAACCCAAGGAGAGAGACGTCCCCAGACACCATCCCTACTGCTCTTTGATTTTGGACTTCTAACCTCCAGAACTGTGAGAAAATAAATTTCTGTTGTTGAAACTACTCAGTCTATGGTATTTTGTGATAGTAAGCCAAGCAGACTAATACAAGGGTTAAAGAAATATTGGCAAGAGGTCCCAGATTAACCTTATAGAGATGTTTAATAAAAATGAGTCTAGGCCAGGCATGGTGGCTTACGCCTGTAATCCCAGAACTTTGGGAGGCCGAGGCAGGCAGATCACAAGGTCAGGAGACCAAGACCATATTGGCTAAAACGGTGAAACCCCATCTCTGTTAAAAAACACAAAAAATTAGCCAGGTGTGGTGGCGGGAGCCTGTAGTCCCAGCTACTCGGGAGGCTCAGGCAGGAGAATGGCATGAACCCGGGAAGCAGAGCTTACAGTGAGCTGAGATTGCACCACTGCACTCCAGCCTGGGTGACAGAGCGAGCCTCTGCCTCAAAAAAGAGTCTAAACTAGAAACTATGGAGCTAAAGGAAGATGAGTCTCTGAAGCCACAATGGAAGCACTTCTTTGAGACCACAACTAAAGTATGTCAGTTTGACATCACTTTTATCAACATCCAGTGGGCTCCGCTCCATGACAACAGCAAAGGTATTAGAACTCTAGGGCCATTTGCTTAGAAGCTTTAATTACACCAGTGACAAAATAAGCAGAGTCGTGGAGTGAAAAGACAATACTTCTCTGGCCATGACCACTCAATCTGAAACCACAAGAGGGTTTATACCCACCGATATAACATAAGACATGGTATTTAAAAGGGAAACCCACTCAATTATATAATTTTAGCCTGTATTAACATTGTTCGATCTTAGTGATTTTTTTCTTTTTCAAAATTCAGTTTAAGTCATTCTATTTTGGCATTTGGATTGCATGAGATATCTGTAGTTTCAAGCCTAAAACAACAAAAAAAAATCACATTCTACTCACACAGTCCAATTTTTCCATGTTCCTATATCTAAAATACTTCAACTTTTGGTATTTTCTATTTCTCCTCCCTTCCTTTCTTGATTAACACATCATTTTAGGATATTTGTATATTAACACACTTTGTTGTAAGCCTTTCAATTTAATGTTTGTAACTTCTAAAAAATTATTCGGTAACAATCTTTTAAAAAAAATCATTTAAAAATTTAATAAAAAAAAATGAAATATACAAACCTCCTGGGCCCGGGTGTGCTCACGTCCGTACATTCCATTTCAAAAGCTGGTGGGCAATACTTTTTATTACTACGGTTCAGGAGTTTGACGACCAGCCTGGGCCAATACTGGAAAACCCTGTCTCTACATCAAAAATACAAAATATCCAGCCGTGTGATTGGCACCTGTACATCCACTCTACTCAGGAGCGAGCCGGAGCAATCTTGAAACCTGGTAGGTGAGTTGACCCAGTGTATCCGCAGATCGTGCCACTGCACTTTTCAGCCTGGAGACAGAGAGACTTCACCCACCCATGCAATAAAAAAAAAAAAAAAAAAAGTAGCAGTTTTTTTTAATGTGAGAATTTTTATCTTTCTATGTATTTATACTAACCAGTACAGCAGTATTGACATATTAACAAAGAGTATATCAGAATGCAGTATTATCAGCAAGACAATATTACTGTATTCAGTAACACTTCTCAAACAATACTCTTATGAAAGTTAAATGCTTTCACTAAAATGAGATATTTTACTATGCAGGTGACAGATATGCTGTGGCCATACCATACATATTGGTTCATGCCCACATTGAGAGTCCTGTCCATTGACTGTGAACACTGCTTATTGCTTGTCTTGTTTTGGCTTCACTATTAGTTTTATCCTGAACCACAATATGAAAAACTAAAATTAATCTATGAATCACATGCAAATTCATGCCACATATTATCCTTCTCTATTAAAAATCAACACAATCAAGTATTGGATCTTACTGACAACCTTCTTCGAAATGCTTTTATTCTAGGTTAAATAATAGAAATATTACCAGCATGAGATTCCAAGGACTAGATTCTGGTCTCAGCTCTACTGCTAACTAGCTAAGTGAACTTAGGCAATCACTTAATTTCCTGGGTCTGAATTTCTCTCATCTTTAAAGAAAATAAAATGAACTTGGTGATATACAAGACCCTTCCTTATTCTAGAATATTCCTCTATTTGAAATGAAATCCTAACTCCAGTGTCCTTGTCACCTCCTGGAATCCTTCCCTGTGTCTTCCCCTTGGATAAACTGAATTCATCTCCTTTATGCCCCCTGTGTACTGAGAATAACCCTCTCGTAGCACTTATCTAACTCATGATCTCTCACTAGACCGGAGCCTCCTGGAGAGCAGGCACCTGGTCTTTTGTGTCCACAACCCCATGGTTATGGGATAGGGGCTAGATGGATGCATGGCTATATGGTGAGCCAGCCAATACTTTCTGTGCCGCACTTCAACAAAGTGTCTCACGAGAAGACGTACAGAAACAGCAAATAAAATTCTTCTCTCATCCTATTTAAATAGTCAATCTGGAGGAAAATATGTTCTTGCTATCTTGAAAGTGAAGAAAATATTCAGAAATAATTTAAAATCTCAGGCATGCTTATTGTAGCCAGCAGTGTTCATGTAACATATATTTTAAGTTTCAAGGAAATGAAATTCGCTTGACTGCCTTATGGACAAATATATCACTTATTTTTAAATGGTTCATTCTCTTTTACTCATAAAACATACCGTCTGTAGGTTTCAGCATCTTTTATGGAAAAAGAAGGTTACAACAAAATTACAAATATATCTGCTGATTTGAGGACCTTTGAGGACACAGATTTCCTATCAACCTTTATATATGGTGCATTGGTGGTCCTCAAGTCCATGCCAAGGTCGGACAGTCCACTAGGCAGATTCATAGAATTCTGCATATCATCATATTCATGGCTATGAGAGCATAAGATATAAAGAAAATTTAGCGAAGGGAAAAGGGGCATGGGCAAAGTCTGGGGGAAGCCAGGCACAAGCAAGAGCATCACAGGGAAGTTCATTAAGGACTTGGTGCTTCTGGTTTTGTACTGGAGATGGTCACAAAGGCATCTTCTGCCAGACATATGCCAAAATTCCACACTTCAGGAAGGAAAGTTGATATTCAGCATCAATCCACCTTGTTAGAATAGACAGTTAAGGCACACAGAGTTACTCATCAGTTAGTGGCAAGAGTCCCCCTGAAATGAAGTTCACAAGAGCCAGCTTTATAAGCAAGTCTTTCAAAGGACAATAGTCTTATCTGCTAGGTTAACTCTTTTTTACACAAATGGTAAAAATCATTGTGCAACAAATAGGCAAAATGAGAAGAAGTGTAATATTAATTTTAAAAGTCTAATAAGCCTTTAAAATGTAGGTGTCACCTGTGTTACCTTTTTATGTGTGTGTCATAGAAGGTGCGTTGCTTACCTTCTTTGATGTATACCTAAGAGCTGGTCATCAATTTAATGAATACCATTTTGTCATTCCAGGAATTAGCATCTTGAATTGGTTAAATAAATACAAACATAAAGTAAGCAAATGAGTCAACTTTCCTCTGCTTCTCTCTCATCCCTTTTCTGAATATGTTTAAACTTATTGGAAACTATGGAATTGCGTTCTTATTATTGAAAAATAACCCAATCGGTCTTTTTGCTCAATTCAGTTTAGCTTTTGACTCTCACACATGGGATCTTAATCTCCAGTAGTCTGGTGGAGCCTCCTCAATAGAATTGCTTTAAATGCACAAAATAAAATACACAAGATTGCAAAGGAAACACATATTGAAATCCTGTCATCAAAATATTTTCAAACAATTTACAGTATAGTAATCTACGTGCTTCTGTCTAGCAGCAGGTCTAATAACCATCATAATTGTTAAATAGTAATGAGCATAAATGGCATTTCAAGATATCTTCAGCATATATTATATATGAAAATACCCATTAATATAATTGCTTTTGGTACTTCTAATAACACTGTAGTTGTCTAGCAACCTTTCCAATTAAAGGAAAAGCTAAATGTCAGTTAGAAAATAGATAAATTTTTTTTCATCAAAATGTACAGGCCCCAGGTAAAAATCTCAGGTTTCTAGACCCATGAGACCAGGAGTTCATTAACTGATTCCACTTAGATCATGAGCTGTTGGACCAAGAGCAAGCAGACTTATTTTGTTTGACCACAGAATTTTAAAAACAAATCAAATTATTACCAAACAAATGTATTTTCCCATAAAAATGTGCTTCTGACCTCTTGGAGAAAAAAAAAATACGAGGACTAAGCAGCACTAGCCCAGCATCCCCACAAGGCAATGTCCTACCAGACTGAGTAACAGCTGTCTCGTTCACATGTGAAATGAACTCTCCATTTTCACAGTAACTATAAATCCTTCATTACTCTTTCATGTTATCTGCCTGCTTTATGTAGCTACTTCTTATTGATATTTGTGGCATTTTCCATCTCATAACCCTCTGAATAGGCAGCAAGTAGAAAATACTTGCTTTCTAATAAAGGTGGGGAGATTCTATTTATATGTCCACTGTTGTCCCCATTTAACTTCTTCCAGTCCTCTTTTTTCAACAATTAACACACTTAAGTCCCCTGGGCAGTCACCTGATTGTAAATAAAGTAATTGAAACACAATCTTGCTCATTTCTTTATGTATTATCTACAGCTTTGCTATTGACTAAGTTTTACCCCCTCAAAATTCATCTGTGGAAGCTCTTATCCCCAATGTGATGGTATTTGGAGATGGAGCCTTTGGGAGGTAATCAGGTTTAGAAGAGGTCATAAAGTTAGGGCCAGTGCGGTGGCTCACACCTGTAATCCCAGCACTTTGGGAGGCTGAGGCAGGCGGATCACGAGGTCAGGGGTTCAAGACCAGCCTGACCAACATGGTGAAACCCTGTCTCTACTGAAAACACAAAAATTAGCCAGGCGTGGTGGCAGGTGCCTGTAATCCCAGCTACTCAGGAGGCTGAGGCAGGTGAATCGCTTGAACCTGGGAGGCAGATGTTGCAGTGAGTCAAGATCACGGCACTGCACTCCAGCCTGGGTGACAGAGCGAGGCTCCATCTCAAAAACAAAAAAAGTTGGGGCCCTCATGAGGGACTTGGTGCCCTTATAAGATACCAATGAGCTTGCTTCCTCCCCCCGCTATCTCTCCACCTCCCCTTCTCTCTCTTAAGTGGGAACACAGTGAGAATTTGGATATTTGCAAGCCAGGAAGAGAACCCCCACCAGGGAACCAAATTGGCCAGTAATTTGATCATACACTTCCCAGCCTCCAGAACTGTGAGAAATAAATTCTTTCTGCTTAAGGCACCCAATCTATCATATTTTGTTATGGTGGCCCAAGCTAAGACAGCTGCTTTCATACTACAGTGGAAAAGTTGAGTGGTTGAGATTGGCCCACAAATTCAAAATTATTTACTATCTGGTCCTTGACAGAAAAAGTTTGCCAGCCCATGCTGTAGTTGTTTGATGGAATTACTAGTTATAGCTCTAGAATTTTTACATAGAGGGGCTTAAGGATGGGTAGGAGGAGCTATATTTGCACAGTAAGCATCTTATTTTTCCTTAATGAAGATGAAGGCAAGCAGCTAAAGAAGGCTCACTTCCCTCCTTATTGCAGCCATGGAAAGCCATACGCTATACAAACCTCTCCTCTGAGCCACTGGATACACCTGTGTGGCCAGAACTGTACCACACCATGGCTGACAACTTGGATTCAAAATCTGCTCCCTTACTTAGCAGGAACACACCCTTAATCAATGGCTATGATAGCTATGAGATATCAATAGCATACTAAAGACATAGTTTTGGTTATAGAATTCACAACGAATGTCCATTGCGATAATTTTTACAATAATAGCAATAAGAACAAAATGTTTTCATTAATAGATCAATTGGAATAAAGTGAATAAGTGAAAAAGAAACTATAAATTGCTGACAGCGTTTCTGTGGAATATTGTGGAAAAGAAAATATCAGCGACTTTGACAAGCTAAAACAACATGGTAGTTTAAAAAATACAGGTTTTAGAATCATAGAGATGAATGCAAATGCAGGTCCTGACTCCTAAGTTATCTGGCAACTAGCTGTTCCAATCTCAGAACCTTAATCTCTTCATGGGTGAAATGGAGATTATACTGCTCTGTTTGTGGGTTGTTGATGTTTAACAAGATATTATAAGTAAACTATGTTGAAGTGCCTGGCTATTTACAATATGTTCCCAGATGGTAGCTACTATTACTAATCATGAGATAATATTTCTCACCACTTATTTTTTTCATGAGAATATTGTTTTTCAGAAAATAAAGTGACACTGAATGACACCCTTTTCCCACTATTTGCCAAGTTATTGAGACAACGCATCAAGAGCAGAAAGGCTACAATTATAAAAACTGACACCAGTTATAACAGGAAACAGGTTGTGAGGGAAGAAAGCCACCTGATGTTACTCAGCAAACTGGCACCCATGGAGACATGCACAGTGTGTCTGGGCCCCGTTACAAAAACCAACAACAGTTTTCTGTCTCTAGCTTCTCTTCCTATCAGAAGTAGCCACACCTGTGTGTACTCAGCTGTCACAACCAATGAATGTGTGTGTGTGTGTGTGTGTGTGTGTGTGTGTAAGAGAAAGAGAGGTGACAGATATTTTCCACTGGTGATCTGTTTTCATTGTCCCTCCTTGGCAACTTGCATTGCAAAGGTATCAGTTGGTTATTTGATATTAATCCCTCTGGGCCTGAGTTTTCTCATGTGATTTGAAGGACAAAATAGCTGCCCATTTTCTTTCACAGGAATATTATAAACATCAAGTCCTGAGAAATGTACAGATGTTGGACAGGAGTTTTCATTAATCTTGCAGTATTTAAGAATACAGTCTTCCCTCGGTATATGAGGGAGACTGGTTCCAGGATCCCCTCACATACCCAGATCCTCACATACTGAAGTCCTACTGTCCACCCTGTGGAACCCATATACAGGAAAAGTCGGCTCTTGGTATACGCACGTTTCAAATAATACAAATACTGTATTTTTCATCTGCATTTGGTCAAAAAAGATTGGCATGTAAGTGGACCCTTGTTGTTCAAATCTGTGTTATTCAAGGACCAACCATACCACAAAAGTCAACTACCTAACAGGTTGCCTTGTTGAAGGGAAATTTGTCATTGCAGAAGGCAGAGCATAGACCAAAGGAGACATTCCTGCTTAATACTGAAAGAGACTCTGAGCTCCCTAACACGTAAGTAAGAAACTTCCACATTTAGTTAATATTTAGCATCCCTCTTCCACATTCATCTGCCTTCACTTTCAACTATTTGTGTTTGACATAATATTCACATTTAACTATAGATCTATTGAGCATAGGTACCTGTACTTAAGTCTGTATGTTCTCTACAGCTATTTAATTTTGTCTCACAGGTTCTGGACGCTCCATCTATTTGATAACAAAAGTATGAACTGAAAATGGTGTTCAAGTATAGATCAAATAAATGTGATACAGCCAGGACAAACACTACTCCTGCTAGTCTCATCCTTTCTTGGAACCCTAAGTAGGAATTACATTGACTTAATTACATTCATTTCTACATTGCTACAGTATAGACATTAATTTTTCCCTTTGCTTGATTTCTTCCCTCCCTGTTAACTACAGAGAAGGTTTCCTTTAAGCAGGTTATGGAAAGGAATGACTGTTATTTCAAAATATTTCACCACCGACAGGCGATCATTTTAGATAAAAATCACTTAAGTGCAGTTATCCAAACATGTATTTCATTCTTGGCAATAAAAAAGCCCTACCCAATGCCCAGTGACCTAGAAACCAGAAGTAGGAGATTTCTTCATGCAAATTAAATTTGTGTCACACTCATCAGTTAAAAAGTGGCAATGAAGGTTAAATGTGCAGCAGCAGTGTAACATAAAGGATTCCTATCCATATTTGTAGGATGTGTCAATGTGGCTAATTAATTTTTGAGATAGCGTTCTTTGAAAGAGTAAACTTTGTGAATTAATTATGAAATGAGAAGTGCCTAAAGAGAGCTGAGAATGTAAAATAGGCACCCAGCTTGATTAACTTTACCAGCTTTTAAAATGCCCATTTAATAAGGTAAAAGACACTGGAATTGATTTTATGGCAGTGTTATAAACTCCAAGAACCAACGACATCATAGGAGAGTTCACAGCTTGTTTCTCTTCAAGTCTGTTTTTCATTTTGTATATTAAATGGTAAAGATTCAAGTCTTTACTCATAGAAACAGGGTGTTTTTTCCCTTAAAAAGTTAACAAAATATAAATAAAGGGAAGGAAAATTATGCCACTTTACATTGATGGGAATTTAGTGCTGCAAAACAAAGTATCTTTTCTACTCTTCAGCTAATAGAGCTGAATTAATTAATACTCTGGACACTAATAAGAAAAAGCAGACCCAGACAACATACCCGTTTCCTCAGATTGCAAGTAAGAGTGAGATTCCTTGAGAAGGAGTTTGCAAAAGCTGTATAAAAGTCCAGGACTTTGAGCAAGGCTTCCCGCTTGATGATGTGTAGGTCACAGTACGTCAGTGCTCGGACGTTCGCACATGCATGGGCAAGGGTGGTTTCCTTCCAGAATATGTCTCCAAATACATCACCCTTCCCTAGAAAACAGTATAAGATACATATTCAAGTATCTACCACTGTTCTTATTGTAATCACTCTTGTTATTCAGTTTCATATACAGTATTGACCTTCTAGCATAATTTAGAGCTGAGGGTATAGCCGCATCTATAAACACATAACAATATACAATGCTTTCATATAATATGGAACATCACCCTGAATTCGGTTATTGATGAAAATCTGGAGTGACATGAAAAAATGGATCCAACAGAGAAGCCAAACACCTCATTTTAACAAATAATTTCATTATTTTCTGCCACCTTAACTTTTCCTATTTTGACTAGAAGGAGCAAAGGTGACTACTTAGTTTCATCCTTGCCTTCTGGTAAAGATAATAAAATGCAACACAGAAGGATCTGCTGTAAATAAATCTAGGGCTGATCCAACGTATATTAAAAACACATTATTTAGTAACTATGAATTGTGCCCTAAGCTGATTAAAACTTGCCACAACTTAGTTCCCCAAGAATGCCCTTCCCTCTCTACCCAGCCAACCTTACACAGGTTCTCAGAGTCCAGCCCAAGAGCTCCCCATCCACAATGACAAAGCTGAAGGACCCAGCTTGAGTAAAACATGGAGACTCAAATGTGTTATCCCATGAACAGTTCTATAAAAAGTGCTACACTATCATCAAATGTAGACGGCTTTTAAACATTCTAGAAATCGCACAGAAATCACCTATTCACTTCAGAGCACTACCCACTGGTGGCCTGAACTCAACCATTTATCATTTGAAATCAAGTACTTAGTTGCCCAAATAAAAAGAACGAGAAAGAGTCTAAGGTTAAAGATCCCAAAGGCCTTTCTGCCGAGGCAGTTCCATAAAAGTCCCTGGTTTCTGAAGTGTAGTCAACTGCATTCTTTGTTCAACTTCTGCGTGAAAGGAAAAGTTCTAAAGTGAAAAAGACAGGGGGAGTATATCCAGGAGGGAAACATCTTCCTAGAGACACTCTGTTAATGATTTATTCTTTTTGCACTCAAACCACAGAGGTGAGCAACTATCTGCCGTCAACATGCAGATTAAAATCAGAACTAATAGGAAAAAAAAAAAAAAAGAAGAAGAAAGAACTTGCATCACCCTTCAGGCCAGCCAGACAACCAGAGAGAAAAGAAAATGTGTAACCACAGAAATGAGAGAGAGACAAAGACAATGACAAGACAGAAACAGAGAGGTTGAGTGAGTGAGATTACAGATTCTTTGCTCACCTAGGTAGTTGGGAAGTTCTGAGAGAAACATGGGGCTTGATTTCAAGCTTAAGAGGGACTTCAGGGTAGAAAGAGAAAACATGCATATGACTGAAGAGGTGATTAAAACCACCACATGATCATGTGACCAGCATAAAACAACTATAATGAATATTTAATTAATCTCAAGCAATTCATTTGTTTCTGGACCCTCCAAAAATTCCTTTTAGTTCATGACACTGATGAGCGAATTAACCATCTAATACCCATTTATTTGCCCAAGGAAGGGAGATTAGAGACCTGGTATCCAAACAAAGTCTCTAGAGTTATACAGCATCGTAATAACCTAAGGGAGACTGCAGTTATAGAAACTCTACCTCCTTTTATACAGATGAATTTCAGAACTCTGTACGTGGTATTCTCTTCAAACTAGTAATCCCAATTATAGGCATTTATTCAAATTGCATAACAAGAAGTACCAAATTTATTTATAAAAATGCTCACTGAAGTGAAATTTATAATCATAAAAAATTAGAAATAAATGTCAATAAATAATGAAATAGTATGCAGACAAAAGGTATCATAAATTTTACAAGTGACATGGAGGTTATATAAGGTTATATAAAATAGTAAAAGCAGGATATCAAACCATACATACAGTATAATCTCATTTTATGTACCCCATCTCCCCACCCCCAAACATACATACATACATGCACACAAAGGGCAGAAGTAAATGCATCAAAAAGGTAGGTCCTCTCTGCATTATGGAACAATGTATGGTTTTCATTTTGTCTTATAATTTATGTGTAATACTTTGTAAACAGAAAAGATCAACAACTGTTACATTACCACAGTTCCTGATGGTACCAAAAAAAAAAAAAAGCCAAGCTTTTAAAGGGCTGCTTTGATCTACCTCTTATTTCTTTTCCTTTTTATTCTTACTCTTTCCATACCGGATTTTTCCTTCAAGAGATAGAAAAAAGGTCACTCTTCTCTATGAGTCATTTTTGTATCATGTTCTTAAATTGTCAATTATAACCTCTTAACCATTTATAAGTGCTCATTACTTTACAGCTATTTGGTTTTCATATGCAGTACACTTAATAATAATCAATGCTTTTGACTCAGTATTTTCATGTCTGAGAATCAAAACATTAGAACCACTGCATGTAATATTCATTACAGTGTTAATGATAACCCTAGATTTTTATTTAAACACTATATGTCCAATAGCTATGGCAATTGCAAAAATATGTGTAAAATATCAATGTCCAAAGAATTAAAACAGCTTTTGAGACAACATGCAAAAAATTCTTAACTTACAATGTTAATTAAGAAATAAATATATAAAGAATAATATGAATATATTTACAGCTATAACAAAATATATAAAAATGAAACTGAGGTGCCAAGACTAAAAGAATTGTCAATTTAGAAATCTACTTTATCTTCTCTTCTTAAGACAATTCTCTTGATGGAACCAAAGTATAACGTATTTTATAACTATATGTTATTATATATAGTTTATTAGTCTGTTCTCACACTGCTAATAAAGAATGAAGACATCCAAGACTGGGTAATTTACATAGAAAAGAGGTTTAATCGACTCACAGTTCTACATGACTGGAGAGACCTCACAATCATGGCCAAACGCAAATGAGGAGCAAAGCCATGTCTTACATGGTGGCAGGCAAGAAAGCTTGTACAGGGGAACTCCCATTTATAAAGCCATCAGATCTCAAGAGATTTGTTCACTACCAGGAGAACAGTATGGGGGAAACTGCCCCCATTATTCAATTATTTCCAGCTGGCTCTGCCCTTGACATGTAGGGATTATTACAATTCAAGGTGAGATTTAGGTGAAGAGACAGCCAAACCATATCATATAATATACTATGTTATATAAATTTATCAATTGATACAAATTGAGCTAAAAGTCTAAAGGGATACAAGACTAAAATAAAATGCATTTAAATAATAATAGCAACTGGATTTAAGTGGTATGTTTATGTGTCTTTTTTTTCCTACTCTATGTTTTCCAAATTTTTCTATATTAAAAAACAGCAAACCATTTTCACCAATGTCTTTCATTATACTTCTTAATAAAACTGAATTCATAAAATATATACATAGATTTATAGATCATAAATAAATATTCATTGATTATTAAGTGCATTTTCAACAGGTTAAAGGTACTCAAAATATAAAGGTAGTTTCTTCTTACTAGTACGGGTCATTTTTAATTAAAGAATCATTCAAATATCTGTTATATATTTTATTTAACTTAACTGATGAAATTAAAAATGCTTACACTATTTCTGCCTAAAATTTTTAAATTTAAATTATTACATTAAATTATTATGTTTTTGGTATCATGGGAAAATAAAAAGTCTATGATATAGTGAGAATAGCAATAAACTAGAATATGAACTCATGATAAACTTTATTTCCTGTTCCTCTCCCAAAAATGTTTAGAAAAGCATAGCAAAATTAACAAAAGTAGATAATTCTGCCCCCAACATCAGAATTCACTTTACGTAATAAGCAATACTAATTGTTTCATTACACAGAATTTTCATTAGGATATGCAATATGTAAACTAGATATTAAGCTATTCAACCATTTCAAAGTGTGTTTACTTTGTTGGCTTTCTACGTCACCTATTAAGCAATCAATTCACAACAAACATTTACCGCATTTCTGGAACTACGGTCATCTTTTAAAAAACTTAATTAATTTACCAGCCAAACTAAAGTTGGTTAATGTCCTTCTTCAAGCATATTATGCACATTTACTGTAAGTCATCTCAGAAATCATAGGCTGTGAAAATGTGGGGTTAGGCATGGAATATCCAACGTGCATGCATCTAATATGCATGGAATAACTAATGAAGAAACACTTTTCTTTATTGTACAAAAGATTTTGCACACTTTCAGGGCTAGGAACTCCTGTTCATCTTCTTGACTACAGAACATTTGATGCTGGTTTTTAGGTCAGCTCCTGCTGGGTACAAGTAGTCTCTGCTATAAACATTTTAGAGCTAGAGATAACTAACCTCCCCTCAAATACTAAAATTAGTAGAAAGCTTGTGCTAAACATGAAAGTTGTTGTTTGGTCTATTTATATTTTCTCAGTTCTTTTCATCAAGTCTTATGAAGTATTTCACTGTTAAACTACAGGAAAAAGGATTGTAAAACAGAAATAAGTGTTAAAGACTCATATAGTAGGAAACCGGAACATTTAAGGCAAAACAGAGACAGAGTTACAACATAATTAAAGAAGTAATACAGACTATGGTATGCTTAGGGATTATGGTCCCCTAAGGGGCTGATTTTATAGCCAGATTTATTTTTTCAAATGTGAGACACATTATTTGGTGAGTTAATAACATAAATAAAATAAATGCATAAAAATTACCACAGTTAGGCAGGGCACGGTAGCTCATGCCTGTAATCCCAGCACTTTGAGAGGCCGAGGTGGGCAGATCATGAGGTCAGGAGTTCGAGACCAGCCTGGCCAACATGGTGAAACCCCATTTCTACTAAAAATACAAAAATTAGCCAGGCACAGTGGTGGACGCCTGTAATCCCAGCTACTCGGGAGGCTGAGGCAGGAGAATGGCTTGAACCCAGGAGGAGGAGGTTGCAGTGAGCTGAGATCACGCCACTGCCCTCCATCCTGGGTGACAGAGCGAGACTCAGTCTCAGAAAAATAAATACATAAATAAAAATTACCATAGGTATTCATCAGTGAGAACTGCTAACTAATATATCCAACAGGTCCCAAACA